TTCTCTAAGATACTTTTAATCCTCTTCTATAGTAATAAGAATCTGTAATGTGTTTTTTGTTTCTAGTGATCTAAAAATAAATGAAAAAAACTTTAATTTATCAAGAAGATAGTATATGATCTGTTTTGTGATATTTTCATATAATTTTACTATTAGGTATGACTATGTATCTTATTTTCCTTTCATTACAGATGTACAAATGCAGATGGATAATAGCAAAGAGGTGACTTATGGAACATAATATAAATTCCGAAAGGGGAGTTTTAAAAATCAAATTGCTGTCACTAAACTTTCAACCCTGATTTGACCTGATTTAGTAAGTGTAGCATTCTTCAAAGTGTGAAGGGTCTAATACACTCATATCTATGAAAGGGTTTCATGATATTTTATGTGAATTAGAGTTTCGCACCAGACTGGATGCATGAATGCCAGATAAGGTGAAGCTATATTAAATTTTGAAAATGGAGTGCAACCAGGTAGAAATTCAGAACTGAAGAATAAAAGCGAAGTCATTTCAAACTAGCAGAAAAACAATGAGACAGATAACGTGACATCAGATGGCCAAGAAATTTGAGAGGAGGAAGAACCATGGAGAAACTATAGATCGTCTTTGGACTCATTTTAGAGTTCTGAGGAAATTAGTATATGTAATCAGATATTTTGGACAGAAAGAAGGTCAATTAAGTTGGTAACAGTGATTCTGACTCATAATGACCCCAATGGCCAGAGTAGAACTGCTCTGTTGGGTTTCTGAGACTAAATTTTTTTTTCTTTTTTGTAGCCCCTGTTACTCTCTGGGTCTAGAGTCCCCAGCCACTCTGTCTTTCTACATCATCATCTCTGCCTTCATCTCTGGCACTGAGACTAAACCTTTACAGGAGCAAACACCATCATCTTTCTACTGAAGAGAGGTTATGACCTTGCGCTGTACTACCAGTGCTCATTTAATGTTGTTATTAAGGGTCGTTGATTTGATTTGGACTCATAGAGACCCTGTATAGGGTTTCCAAGGAGGAGTTGGTGGGTTTGAATGCTGATCTTGCAGATGACAGTACAGTGTTGATTCTACATTGCCACACCAGGAAACAATCATCTATATGTCTCATTATGTGTGTGCAGATAGTCTTCCACATGATCATTAGGTGAACAGCCTTGATAAATGAGAATGTTTGGCACTGTAGTGTAAGCAGTGGGGTTCTAACTGCAAAATAGGAGGCTCAAACCCACCAGGTGCTCCTGGGTAATCCTATATAAGGTCACTATGAATCCAAATCGACACAACAACCCTAACAACAAAATATTCACATTGCACTTCATTGTTTATATTATTTTAATATTTTTAATGCAATTTCCAGTGATGCAGAAGAAAGATCCGATGTTAGTCTGATATTTTATACTTCTCAAACTAAAGCTGAAGAAAACGAAAACAAGTCCATGAGAGCCAAAATATGACCTTGAATATATCCCATCTGAATTTAGAGATCATCTGAAGAACAGGTTCGATACATTAAACACTAAAGACCAAAGACCAGAAGAGTTGTGGGATGACATCCAGAACATCATACATGAAGAAAGCAAAAAGCCACTCAGAAGACAAGATAGAAGGAAAAGGTCAAAATGGATGTCAGAAGAGACAATGAAACTTGCTCTCCAGTGTAGAGATGCTAAAGCAAAAATGGAAGAAATGAGGAGGTCCAAAGGCTGAACAGAAAATTTCATAAATCAGCTCCAGAAGATAAAGCCAAATATTACATACAACACAATGTGCAAAGATCTGGAATGAGAAAACCAAAAAGAAAGAACATGCCTAGCATTTCTCAAGCTGGGGGAACTGAAAAAAAATTCAAGCCTTGACTTTCATTATTGAAAGGTTCTCTGGGCATATTATTGAATGATGCAGAAAGCAAGAGAAGATGGAAAGAATACACAGAGACACTGTACCCAAAGAAAATGGCTAATGTTCAACCGTTTCAAGAGATAGCATATGATCAAGAGCCAATGATACTGAAGGAAGAAGCCCAAGGTGCATTGAAGGAATTGGCAAAGAACAAAGCACCAGGAATTGATAGAAAAAATTTAAATCTTTCAAGAAAGTGAGGCGGCACAGGAGGCACTCACTCATCTCTGCCAAGAAGTTTGGAATACAACTATCTGGCTGACTGATTGGAAGAGAT